TTCTTGATATATCATTCTCTATCCCATCCTCTCCACTTTCTTCTTCTTTCCTTCCTAGCTCGATTCCTTGACTGTCTTTCATCACTTTTACCCGTTGCCGATGATGCAATGAGGAAGTGCATTGAACGCGCTGTCGTTGAGCTCAGCCTTGCCCTTAGCTCTCTCGAGTCAAGCCCATATCCATATCCATATCCGTAGCCGTATCCGTATCTAGTTCCATTACCACTACCATTTCCATTTCGCACTTCCCATCTCTCACCATCAACGGAACCACCTGGATCGCATTACAGCCGCCTCGTAGGCTATTTAAGTGGGCTCGGTCACATGCCTGGCTGCAGACACGCCTCACAACTTGGACACAATGCGCGCCCTCAGCTGGGCATCTGGTTTGGCGCTTCTCCTGCTCTGGCTGGTCGAGGCGCAGTCGCCGCCCTTCTACTATCACAGCTGGCTATATGCAACGCCCTGGCGGCCCTTGGTGCCGGTGCACAGACAAGAGCTGGATGCCCAACAGCTGAGCCTGGGCTACACGGGTCCGCAGACCTTTCCGCTTGAGGCTGGCCAGGCACAAGCGCAGACGACTGTTAGACGACCCATTCTGCTGGGAGTTCAGCTCCGGCCGGCGGCGCAACAGTTTACGGTGCCCTTTAGACCCTCGCCCTTTGCGGGCTACAGCAACGATGTGGAGCAAGTGGAGCAGCGAGAGCAACTGGAGCAGCGACAACAGCAGGTGGTGCAGCTGGAGCAGCTCAATCAGCAGGCGGAGCCACCTTTCTATGCTCCCGGCTATCCGCAAGCAGCCGCCGTCGTTGCCTCCCCGCTCATCGGCGTGGATCAGGCGGAGCAGAGGCCCCCGCACTATCTGTACATGGCACCGTCCCATCAATATAATCTAGTTAGAAGTTAAGTCGCTTGTTGTTGTTATCGCTGTTCGTTTTACTTTCGATATAAACAAAGAAAAACTTTGATCAAACCACTCGCCCTTTGCTTTCGCTTGGTGAAATTGACTCTCGCTCGACCTTGGCAACGTCTCGCTGAGCATTGCGCAATCGATTTTAGGTCGCTGCGCTGCGCCGTGGCACGAGGTCGTCGATTTGAGCATTGAAGATTGCATGGAGACGCCCCAAGTGGCCCGACAATTGCCTCGTCTAACAGCCGCCAGGGCCCGCCAGAAGCGGAGCAAAGGTAATTGACGTAATTGCTTGGCTAGGCAAAGACACATCGATGCGTTAACTAAACGAGAGGGCGTACCAAATAGTGGGTGCTATAACTTGGCTAATTGCTGTTGTTGTTGTTGTAGTTATACTTGCATACATATCTGTTTATCTTACCATATCAGCAATATGTAGCTAGTCTAATGCCCAGCTGTTTCACCTACTGAGGTTAGCAGCGAGAGATCTGAGAGAGGTATTCCCTCTTAGCTTTATAGAGGTATGCAGGCCTAGATCTATTTGAAATCTAACTCTTACTGCAGATAAGATCTGGTCATTTAGACAGTTCTGGTGCCCAAACTCAAATGATTGTATACATTTCCTATAGCTACCTAACCTATCTGCCTCTCATAATATGATCTGATATGATCAGAGCTCCTTAACTCAGAACTCAATCCGCTATTGCTTTATCGAGTTATAGGCGAAATGCTCTCAGGCTAACCCATTCGCTAGCCTCTCTTCTCTTATACATATTCTAATTCTCATATCAAACCTGAAGTTAGAATTTATATATTCCAAACAAATTCTATTTAAATTTATGTACAGTTACAGTCAAGTCGGAACGTAGTATCTCAAACTTAAGTAAATTAGACATCAATCTAAATATCTTAGGTCCTATCACCTCTTCTAGCTCAACGATCTGTGATCAGCTCTACAGTTCAGTGGAGTCTATACCCTATCTACCATATCTGCTATCCATTTGAAGAGTAGTACGAATTGAGGCCATGCGATCCAACCGATCCTAATCTACGTAATTCGATAATGAGCTCATTTAGTAGCATTAACGAGCTAAGTGAAGACCTTTCGAATGCCTTTCGACTAGCCTCCAATTGGGAAAGAGGCCTTAAAAGGGTCAATCAAAGTGTATGACTCGTAAAGCTAATTGGGTCTATTAGCAGCAAATGGAAGATCATTAATTGATTGACTGAACGATTGTTTAAATGATTGACTGATCGAAGATGGCAACGCATCAATATCAGACACACCCAGGGAGCAGGCCCAAGTAACGGTTAACGGCTATCGTTTGTGACAAGTGGATTACGAGGCCTTGGCAAGAAATATTATTACGACATTGTCGCAAAGAGTTTAATTAAAAGGGGGAAGATTACGGGAACAGGCAACCCGAACTAAATTGTAGTTTGAAGGAAATAACAAAAAAAAAAAAAAAAACAAAACAAAACAAAACGAAAGGCAAACACAATCTGTTACAAATTTGCAACAGCTGACAAAATAGCAACAACAACAACAATAACAACAACAGCAACAGTAGCAAATGAAAACATTCATCAGCAATGCGGTTAAACTACCGTTAACGCTGCCAGCGCCAGCAGGAGAAGGGCATGGGGGAAGGGGGAGCGGCTGCTGTGGGGTGGGGTACGCCCTGTCATCCGCACTCACATTCATCAAAATGTTACTTGGAATTAATTGCAATTCACGCATAAGCCAAAAGACTGGGAAAGCTTGACAAAAAATAAAAATAAAAAAATACCAAAAACCTAAATGAAAAGAAAGACACGCACCAGCTTAAAGAGAGGGCGTGTGCGCGAGAGGGACAGAGAGCGAGAGAGGGAGACAGGCACTGTGCACTGAGACATGCGATATGGCAAATGTGTCACTTGAACTTGASGCGAACGAACGGGAGGCAATGCAACAGTCGCAATGCACAGTGGTACGTGAGTGCGGCAAAACTGAATCAAATGTGGAGTAAGTCGGCGTTTGGGCATGCGTTAGGCAAGCACGCAAAATTAATACTTCTCAAAAAGAAAGACAAAAGCACATACTATCTTAACATAAATTATAAAACGTTTCACATTGAAATAAACGTATATTTACGAAGAATAAGCATTAGTAACAGACGCAATTAGTGATGCCCCACTGTGCCAAGGCAACGGTCCAGAGTCATGTCCGCAAAGCGTACGCCACACACCGACCCAAACAAGAGTGAGAGTGCGCGTGCGAGTGCGAGTGCGAGTAAGAAGAGACGGTTAGCGGTAAACCAAAGCGAAGCAAAAGCCAAAAATCGGTTTAGTTCATATGCAAAATGGGCAGCAACAAATATGCCGCGTTGAGTTGGCGCTTTTCGCATCGCCGCCGACGCCGCTGCGTCAAGTTAGCTGCGACGCCAGCGCAGACGTGCGCAATGACAAGCGATTTGCTGCAGAGGCCGCGTATAAAAGGGTTGGCCGGCGCAGAGGTCGTCAACATTCGACGCGCAGCGCTTGTGGAATAAACGCGACTTAGATCGAGCAAAAGAGACAGAGAAAGAGCTAGAGAGAGAGAGAGCAAGTGAACGAAAGGACATAAATAGATCAGCCCAGCATTTGCTGAGCTTCAATTTTTTTGTTTAGTATTTTTTGACGTGCACCCCGAAAATGCAGTTCGCTGTAAGTGTTGTGAAACGACAATGAAATTTAAATAATGCACTAACGCGTTTAATCCTTGAATAGTATTTAGAGATTTATACCAAATACCACATAAATTTCTAAATACTTTGCCGAATTTGCAATACAAATTAAAAACGAAAATTTTCAATTTCTAATGCAGTTTTCGCGCGCGCTTTTCATCTGCGCTTTGTGCGCCTTTGCCGCCGCCAAGCAGCCACAGCAGCAGCAGCAGCAGCAGCAGTCGCAGCAACAGCCGCAGCCGCTGCAACAGCAGCAAAAACAAGCTCAGTCCACCAAGCTGAAGCGCGATGCTGGCCTGAGCTTCGGCAGCGGCCTCTATCATGGGCCCTCACACAAATATTTGCCGCCCGCTGCCAGCTCGGGCGGCTATGAGAGCACCTATGCCCATTTGCATGGCAATGGGCTGGCCGCCAGCAGCGGCTTTGACTTTGCCAGCCTTGACACGGACAGCAGCCATCAGGGCCCGCTTCATCATCATTATCAGCAGCCGCAGCTGCATCATCATCATCAGCCCTATCACAGTCCTCAGCACCATCATCATTACAGCCATCAGCCACACACATATCAATCGCTAGGCTCCTATCATGGTCATGGACGTCCCGTGTACATTAGCTCCTCAAGTTTGACTGGCGGACCTGCTGCTGGCCCTGGCCCCAGCTATCATCAGCGTCCTCCCAAGGTGGAAACCTACATTGTGCACACCAGCAACGGCGGCGGTGGCAGCAGTGGTGGTCATGGCTTTGGCCAACAGGGTCATAGTGGTTACAAGTACTCTGGCCATGGCGGATCCCCTAGCTACTTGAGCCTGCTGGGCGGCGCCTCGCACAAGCAGCATGGCGGCAGCAGCACCACCTATTTGCTAACCACGCCCAGCTATAGCAGCAGCGGAAGCAGCGGAAGCCTGGGCAGCAACAGCCTCAGCCTTGGCAGCCTTGGCAGCCTCGGCAGCGGAGGATCCTCCCATGGCATCAGCTTTGGTCACGGTCATCCGCTTAGCCTGGGCAGCAGTAGCAGCGGCGGCAGCAGCAGCAGCCACGGCCTGAGCTTTGCGCCCGCTCTGGACCATGAACAGCACTTGGGCTACAGCTATGAGCCGCCCAGCCTGCAGCACTATGCCAAGCAGCCGCTGAACAGCTACGGCGTGCCGCTGCTGGCTGGCTATGAGCACGGCCAGCCGGAGGAGGAGCATCAGCAGCAGCAGCCGCAGCAGCACCATGAGCTGCATCACGAGGAGCAACAGCTGCCGGCGGAGAAGAGCCACACGGAGCAGCAGACACCGGCCTATGCGCTGGGCCACAAGGGTCTGGGCCACTTCAGCTATACGTCCAGCAAGCCGCTGGCCCTCAACACGGACATCCATCAGCACGAGGATCAGAACGAGCTGGTCGCTGAGCTGGCCAAGGCGCCGTTCAAGCCCAGCGCCTTCCTCGGCGCCAAGCACGAGTCGAGTCTGGGTTATTCTGACTACGCCACGCCCACCACACAGTATTTGCAACCGCCCACGGCAACGGGCTACGACTATGCGGCCCCGGGTCCGTCGGTCCTCTACGGCGCGCCCGGCCAGTCTGGTGACTCGGCCACGCCCATCTTCGAGCCAGACTCCACCTATTTGCCGCCCACGCACAACTACCACTAAATTATTCACAACTATTTATAATATCTCTCACTCTCTATATATATATCTCTGATTTTTTTTTTTACATATATTATATTCATGTAGATTTTGTCTAAGTTTATGCCAAATGGAGCGCTCGTCCAATAAAAGCAATTTGAAACATAGCCACGCCCCCTCTCACTTTGACTCTGCTTTTCAGACTTTCAATCGATCTCTTTAGCATGCGCAGCTCATCAAAGTCGGATGTATATATAGATAGATACATATACATATAAATACACATTTGATTTGGGTTTTCTCAATTCGTTTCGCTTTTTATTTTGAAAGCGTGTGAAGTCGCTGGAGTCGCATGTGGAGCAAGTGCGAGAAATTATTGAAACGTTAACGGAATGGCCAATTAGACAAATTCGCTGAACGCATTACATCCGAATGGCATCCGTGTGGAATACGTGAAAAGCTTTCCACTGAAAGTGCAAATCGAGCGAGTGTGGAGCGACTTTAATCTAATTTCCAAATCAAATTGGCGAATAACTCGACGTATTTACCGCTAGTTCTTTAATCAACTGCATTTCATTTCATTTACAATATTTGCGAATGAGCTATACGATTTCCTTTCACTCGAATTCAATATATCACTGGAGTACGATTGAAGCGGAACAGAATCCGCTCTCAGAAT